TCCACGTGTTTGTAATGGCGCGATCGTGATCGAGTTAAGAATAAGTAAAGTAAAAGATGGAGATTTTTAAAAAAAAAAAATTCGATTTGACAAATTTGAACTTGCCTCGAATCAATGAGTTTGAATAATTACGGTAATATCTTAATATTCAAGAGGCCGATTTAATAAGTAGCTTAAGTATTTGAGACAAGGTCGAGTGTTTTTTTATTTTTTATTTTTCTTTTTTTAACGAACAAGCGGCATCACAGACGGCTATTTACAAAGATTTATTCCCCCTTATTGCCGCGTGCGTACCCTGAATGAATTTTCGCCCGAGTCCATTTATTCGAGGTGGGGAATTTAAAAGGTTTATCTGGACTGGTTTATGGCCTCGTTATCTCCAGCTTTTTTTTTAATTTCTCCTCCACTTTTTCTTCGAGAAAGGTGTCGTTTACCATTTTCCAATGCGGCCAGCATTCGTTCGGGATCGAAATCGAGACAAGGGAAACCTTAAATGGATTGAACGCTTGCGGACGAGAGAGAACAGAAGCTCTTAAATTGAGATTTAAGTAAGCGTCTCACCTCTTGCCATCTGGTTGAAATTACATCGTCACGCGAACTTACGTTATTTCGTTTCAGGGTTTCGAAAAAAAAAAGAAGAAAAATGCATATCCTTATCCTCCATCCGCTTACTCCTTCTTAATTCCGCAGCCAATACACGCTGGAATTCCTTCCTTAGGGACAAATTTACGTATATATGAAAGAATTTTTCGAGATTAATTTCGCTTCGAAACGGATATTATTCGATAAACTTTAAACAACTTCGATCACTTTCGAATTCTCTTATGCACTTTTCAAAATTTCCAATGATACAAATAAACTCCCTCGTCGTAATAATCTGCGAAATATCTGGTTCCACTATGGTTACAGATCCATAAATTGTCCGGAAGGGAAATTATAATCGAAACTCTCCGAAATAACCACGTTCCACCTCCTAAATCCACGGACCACCTCCTTCAAATCCAAAAAATAATCCCATAAATCTCGAATCCGAGGGAAACCATCGAGAAAAGCGATGCAAAAGCGAAAGCGAAAGCGAAAACCTCGTTGTCGAACCCTCTTTTCCTCTCTTCGAAAAAGAGAGAAAAGAAGAAGAGATCTCTTACACGATCGATCTCCTAATTAATAACATGGTGTTATAAACGATAATGGCGATTAGAGCTTAGACGTTGACCTTGATAAAGATAAAGGTTTGAACATTGCTTTCCTCGAATGCTGCCTATGCGGATTCGTTTGATCGACGAAATATATAATGATTACAATACTATCTTTGTTGGATTTTTCCGCGTGGAAATATATTCTTGGATCGCGCGACGATTTTACACGATGGACGAAAGTGCAAATAGGAGATGTACAATACACAGTTTGACTGACGAACGGACAGAGAAACGAATTGATTAAGACGTGAGGCGAAGATAGATGGAGAATATTTGAATTGGACACGCGAATTGTTTTAATCGAATCGTAACCGAGTCGAATCGGTGCCGTTGTGAATCGAATTCTTCTTCGTTCCTTCGTCTCTACGTGAGAATTTGAGAAAGTCGCGAACGATACTTCCCCTCCGAAATGGATTAAAAAAAAGCGTCAAGGACGTATGGTAATGAGTCCTGGCTAAGAGAGAAGAAAAGAAAGGAGGAAGAGCCTCTCAGAGGCTGATCCGCCGACAAAAATCCGGTTCGAAGTAAGGAACGATCGATGAGGAACACCGCCTACCCTCCCCTTCCAGAAACCTATTTTCTGGGTCTAAACCGTAATTATACGCATCCTCGTCGAGCGCCAAATTCCTCGCTGAGGAATCGGCGAGGATGTATAAATCTTGGTCGCGCGAGGAGGAGGTGCGTTGGAAACTTTGCCCAACCTTCGCTCGGATCGAAATTTATTTTCCATTATTTATCTCGGATATTTGGAAGAGTCTTAGACGAGGGATTACCAGTCTTTCAACGGGGCTTTCTCCAGAACAGAAACGCTGCATACCGGTTGTATATATAAGATGCGTCACGGTAAATTGTTGGATCAGATGGACGATAACAGTGGTACACGGTCGATGGCGCGAGAGATAGTTTGTACGATTGGGGGACGAAAGGTTAATTGGTGGAGGAAAATTATTATTAATTCTTTGGGATAAATTCGACGAAAATAAACGCGAACGGTTTCTTTCTTTCTTCTTATTATTCTTACTCTTCTTATTCGTTCACAGGGAAGATGGACGAGTTGAGAAGGAATCGTTCAAATTGCCGCGCCGTAAATCTAACCGAGCGATTTAGTATACGTGAATATCACGACGGGCTAGGAGATAGGAACGCGGGCTGCCACGGTACGAATAAAAGAGCGAAGGGAGGGGAATGCGAGTATAAATCGTCGTAAATTTCATGGTTGTAAATGCCATTCGACCATCTCTCCTTCTTTATGCTCCCTTCGTCATGCGGCGCGCATGCGTCGATAATACTTGCCAGAAAAAGAAAAACTCCCCTCCCTCCTCGAGAGAGAATACTCCTCCTTCCCCTTATTATTAGTTTTAAACGTTATTTCGTCAACTCCATCCGTGGAAGAAAAATATTAACGTCGTCGACGATTAACACTCAATTTTACTTTCCTTTACGTGATATTAATTTTCTTTCTCTTTTTATCAAAGAACAACGCGATATCGACAAATCTTCTTTTCGTAACGAGCATTTCAACACGAGTGTTCTCTAATAAAGTTGGAATAAGTACAACGTTTCGTTCGATCGGAAACGAGATTGGAATCGAAGGAAAGTTGATCTTTCACTCGATGAGAGAAGAGGAAGAAAAAGAAAAAAAAACTGGTTTCGATCCACACTGGTCTCCGTAAGCTGTTGCACAATGGCGCGCAAGAGTGGAGTCGTGTGGAAAAGGGCATAGACAGGGGGCCGCCACGTTTCTACGATCGGTCTACCGATAAATATCGATCTTTCATTTGCAGATAGCAAGGAGGGGGACAAGGCTCCCCTCCTCGGGGGATCGCCTTATGCAGACAAAAGGAACGCGCGCGAAACTGCTTGCGCACGGCGAAAAAGGGGCGAACTCGTGGCTCGATGTGCCGGAAAGATCCTTTCCTCCTTTGAACCGAGCAGCAGTTTTAATCGTGAAACCAATTAACCTTTGGATCCACGTGTCCATGCTTTGCGTATCCACGATGGAACAAGGGGGATCGAGGGACATGTGTGGTGTGTGGGATACCGAGATATCTTACGGGTTTAGTTAGTCTTTATTTCTTTTTTCAACCCGTTATCTCTACGTAAAATTTAAAGCAGAAAAGAGACACTTGTTTTTCTCTTTTATAGCGCTCTCTCGATCCTCCAAGAAAGGATTCTTGAGAATGTATTGTAGAATTAAGGAATAGAAGAAAATCACACTTATCAGAAACTGAGCAGAAAAGAGACACTTGTTTTTCTCTTTTACAGCGCTCTCTCGATCCTCCAAGGAAGGATTCTTGAGGACGTATTCTACTTGCAGAATCAAGGGATAGAAAAAAATCACACTTATCAGAAACTGAAACGCATTTTTATTTAATTTTAATATAATAGTAGCATGATTAACATGTACACGTTAATATATGTAGATCGAAAAAAAGAGAGAAGGAGAAAAGAAAATTTTCGTTTAAATCTCGATGGGAGCGGGATTTATCAACGCCAATTTATCAATTAATCGTCTGGGTCGGGCAGTGTAAAACAAGCGGCGATTAAACAGGGGAATTAAGAAGAAGAAAAAGAAGAAAGGGTGGAAAGAGGAGGGCCCCTGTGTCGCCGTGCAAGAAGATATTCACGGGAATTTAGTAGGAATATCGAGTCGGCCACCAGCGGCGTGTACACCGATTCTAAATACAGCCACCTCTACCCCTTGCTGGCAGGATCTAGCCAAACGTGTTCTGCGTCCGTGGAGAGAGAGAAGATTGGCCGTCAGTCAGACGGTGGCCGAAGCCGGATCCTCCTAAGCGATAACCGAGACGATCTTTTCGATCGCTTTCCTTCCAACGAATCATTGTCTTGGCTCGATAACCGTGTCGGTTACACATCTAAGCCAGGAGGCTAAGAGGACTCTGTGCGTTTTTCAGAGCGATTCTTCTTTCAGAGGAGCAGGAGAATTTAGATGATGCGATTCGGTGATAAGATTTTTGAGCTTCGTTGGATCCCTTTCTCTCCTCTTCACTCTCTCTCTGTCTCTCTCTGATTTCTCCTTTCCTTTTGTGAAATGAATGTAAGAAAATGTAAGAAAGAGAATTATTTTTTCTTCTTTTGGTAATATATTAATATATTATATAAGTTTGCGCAATAGTAGTTTGATGGTAAATTTTATTCTAAAATTTTTTTCCACTGTCCATGTTTTCAAGAATTTTGGAAAAATTTAATTGTACAGTAGTATGGAAGATATTATAGATGTAAAAAAAGATAGGAATTAAGAGAAGAGGTTACAGTATATACGGTATAATTTTGTAATATTTCATAGCGTAGTAAAATTTTATGATTATTCGTGGCTCGTAAGAAGAATTGATAATAATTACGATTTTTTTTATAAGCCGAATTAGATATCCGGTGTCGATATTATCGATGATACCAATAAACCGTAACCACAAAGACATCTTCCCTTCGATGTAAACTGGCAATTACATGTGTAATTATCTTGTACACCCTTCATTAGTCGCTGTATTGATATATTGCACAACTGACAAGTGGAACGGCCTACCTGAACTCGAGAATTATTGGCCAATTGCGTGTATCTTCAGAATTTAAACCGTTTGCTTTTTCAACAAATTTTCAAAATTTTTTATAAATATTTTTGATAAAATCTTTTGATAAATATTTTCATTCTATTCTTATCTACATATATATATATAAGTTATTTTAATTATTCTTTTAGGATTGCAGTTTTCAAGTATTTGAGGAACTCGATAAAGATAGATCAATGTAATCGAAAGTAAGAAATAAAATCTAATGATTACTCACATTGTCCGCGGCATTGATGTCGATTTCTCGAAGAAGCAAAGTTTCGCAGACATCCACGTGGCCAGCTGCTGCAGCCAATAACAGAGGACTTCTCCCATTCTGTGGACAGAAAAAAAGTACGTAATTTCGTTTAAAAATTTATTTAGGATTAAAATAAATTTATTTAATTTAAGAGCCAATTAAAAATTCTTTTAAAAAAACGTAATATTGCAAAAAAAGGATAGACATGAGGTAAGTAGTGTTTAGAATTAAGAAAAGTGTTGAAAAAACGATAAAAAACTTTAAAAAATTTCTGCTGTAACAAGTAAATACGCAAAAGGTAAGTAAAAAGGTAAGTATATTTAGAATTAAGAGAATTGTTGAGAAAAACGATAAAAAAACTCGAAAAAATAGCAGCTGTAACAGGTAAGTACGTAAAAGGTAAGTAAAAAGGTAAGTATATTTAGAATTAAGAGAACTGTTGAGAAAAACGATAAAAAAACTCGAAAAAATAGCAGCTGTAACAGGTAAGTATATAAAAGGTAAGTAAAAAGGTAAGTATATAAAATTTCGTAAAAATTTGGACATCGGATTCTGAAAATGTAAAAATCAACAAAAATTCTGAGAATCTGACGTCATTCCCAAGAACTGCCGAAATTCCTGGAAAAAATTCACGAACGACCTCCTATCAACTCATGTTCTCCTAATACAAAGTCGAAATTTCAGCCAAAAATTTTGTTCGTTCAAGAATTTGGGAAATTCCAGGAATTTGACGTCATTTCCAAGAATTTCGGAAATTCTGAGAATTTGACGTCATTTCCAAGAAGTGGCACAATTCTCGAACGACCTCCTATCAACTCATGTTCTCCTAATACAAAGTCGAAATTTCAGCCAAAAATTTCGTTCGTTCAAGAATTTGGGAAATTCCAGGAATTTGACGTCATTTCTCAGAATTTTTAAATTTCTAAGAATTTGACGTCATTTCCAAGAATTTTTAAAATTCTAAGAATTTGACGTCATTTCCAAGAATTTTTCAGAGAAATTTAATTTACTTACCTTTCATACTTACCTTTTACTTACCTTTTCAAGTACAACACTTCCAGAAAAGACATTTTTTCATCATTTTACTTAAAACTAATTATAAAATTTGATATACTTACCTATTTCGTACTTACCTTTTAAATTAGTCCTTTCAGCAGGCTATATTTTTAAAAAATAAAGAAAATATATAAAAAAAATTATTTATAAGACATGTAGAAAGCTAACTTATATATTAAATGATTATTTATATATAAAAGTGCATGCAATAATATTTAAAAAACATATAAACCTCTCACGACTAATCAATAATTAGAAATAAATTAATATTACTTACTGTTAGTTGTTATTTAATCGTCCAACGTTAATTACTAATTGATCAAGTAATTTTAACTATTTTTAAGTATCGATATACTACGTTCATTACACATTAACTACTTTCCCACGCTAAAAATTAAATATTAAACACTTTATCAAATATTATTATTCGCGTATATTGAATTCTTATTATATAAACGTTTACAATTTCATAAAATTTCTAGAATTCGAATTAAAATGAGAACTATTCGATTAATAGGACGCTCGATTCATATAATTATCGTATATTCATATACTTCGAAACGTGGAATATTCATATACAAAACCGTTTAAATGTATAATTTAAATATAAAATTACTCCGTCTGAAAAAAATCTGAAAAAAAAAAAAAAAAAAAAGAATAATCGATCCGTAATTCCTTCTTATTTAATTTTCTCCATTCCCCTGAAAGATAAAACGATAAACCATAAAATCGAACATCGCGAGAACGCTCGAGGAATTCGACGAATGCGATTTTAATTTCAAAAACGAGGACTGTTTCTCCCCCCGTGGCTCGATCTCCCGGTTATCGATCGACGTAATTTCAATTATTCCGCGATCGCAGATGCATCTGCGATCGGTTGGTCGCGTAATAAAGCACTTAAGCTTCGACTATCGCCTTTGGCTGGAACGAGGGGGGGGGGAAAAAAAACGATTCTGCGCGATTAATTTCATCGGCGCAATTAAGGGAGAGGAAGTAATTGTAACGAATGCATGGGATAATCGGGCAAAAGTTGCCCCGCAGCATGCTCCGCCGATCTTTTGACAAATACGCGAGCAACACGCTTATCTGCATTCCCACCAAAGACGACTGTCACAATCGAGATGCAAATGTTATTTTACATACGTGAGGGAATTAATATATTCCAGGGAACGCGTGGCTTTAACGAGTCTTCTTTATCGATCTTGTTTAGAATTAAAAAAAAAAAAAAAAAGTAACAACGACGATGGAAAATGATCTCTGCAAGTTTTGAAAGAATTGGAACGAGCTGCTTTCCCATTTTTGATTACGATATAACTACCTCGTTGTTGATAATAGGATTCGTAGATAGAATATGTAACGAGCGATAAACGATATCAGCGTGGAAAGTAGTCCTTAAGAGTTTCTAATAACTTGGATTCTCTACAAATTTCGATTAATTATATTTTAAACATTGCTGGAATGGTAAATTTTAAAAAGAAAAAGATTTCTTTTACCTAACTCTGAAACAACGAATTAGCTTGAATTTATAAAATGAAACTAAACTCTTCAGAGAAAAATTCCTAGGGAACCCTAGACATCCCACTTAGAAACTTATCTAGAAGAAAATTTTCAGATTCTCCAATTGTAAAACAACAAAAAAAATATAACTTTCAACTATTCCAAAAAATTCGTTGTTCTTCGCAATATCTAATTAATCATTCCAATTTGCTTCTCACTTAAAATTAAATTTAAAAAAAAAAATTCCCGATCGATCCCCCAGGAATTCTAACAAAAAGAAAAACTCCCCGGTAAAAAGAATTCTTTCTATCATTTAATCATTCTTCGATGGCGGCAAAAAGAAAAAGACATCGTTCGAGATGGAAGATTGTGGACAAGTGAAGAAAATATTAAATAATAGAGAAAAAAGGAAACTCACTTCGTCCGGCAATGGTTTAATATCTTCGTCAAGGAGTCGCGCAACCCGCGCTACGTCGCCACGTGCGGCCGCCTCGCGTAACTTTTCTGCCATTCCAGCCACGCATCTGCAAAAGAAAAGGAAATGGACGATCATTAGAGGTATTCGGTTTAAACTCCATCCTATTTTTCATGCAACCAGTGCAGATGATCACGTCAGATATGCCGCCGCTCTGGGATTTCTTTCGAGAAACGAGATCGTCGAATCGGAAAACGATCACGGTTTTTTCCCCACTTCCTATCGAATCGATCCGTATCGCCATATATTATCCATATAAACGCGTAACGGAACGTAGAAAATGACTCTTGTTACTACTATTATCATTTATTCAACGAGTTTAAATTTTACTCGATCCTCGGCAACGATATCGTTGTACGTCTTCTTTCTTTTTTTTTTTTTTTAAATTTCTCGATCTCAATCTCGATCCTCTAAACTCAAGCGTCTCTTGTCATTTTATCGGGAAAGAGTAAATTTTTCTCTCGTTAGTAAAAAAAAAAATAAATAAATAAATAAGTGGTAAATATTTTGTTGACGCGATACAACGATTTCCTTGATTATCTAAATACAATTATCACTTCGTTTACACACATAAAATTCGTGAAATGCATTCTCGATGGCCCTCTTCTCGTTGACAAGGTTTTATCACTGGGCACGATTCGAACCTTGTAAGAGATAAAGCTGGCAATTCAAGTTTCCGCCGGATGTCAACCGGTTAAGGGCATTACGCTGCGAGACGAAAGAGAGAGAGAGAGAGAGAGAGAGAGAGAGAGAGAGAGAGAGAGAGAGAGAGAAGGTGAAATTCTGCGAATTTAAAGCCCACTCGTTGGATTCTCGAGTACGAAACTTATCGGTCTTGTATTTGTAAATACAATCGTGATAATTAAGCAAAAGAAAAAACGTGTATGTTTAAATCATCTTTCGAACAAAGATCGCAGTTACGTTCAACGATTAATTTACAATTTATTGTTCCAGACGAGAGACTGAAGATTCATGGATCGGAGAAAAATGCAAGTGAAAATTTTTTGTCCTTTTCTTCGCGGTTGAACGATGTTATGCACGCCTCTGACCAAATTAATATTACACGCGGAATCGCGCCCATAACCCGCAGATCTTCATTAGAAGGGTGGGAAGGGCGTGACAATGAAGAAGAGGTATCCTTTTTTTTTTTTTTAAAGGGAACAATGACACACACCGCCATTGTTTTCGGAGACAATGGACATGGATGGGCTCGTCGTGTCGAGAGAAAAAAAATATAAACGATCAGGATACGTTTCTCTTATCTTATCATATGTTAAATAATTTTAATTTTCCACCATTTCTAATATCTTCTTTCTCAATTCTCGCGAAGAGTTTATTAAATTAACTCTTTATCCTTTTATTTTCCAAGCCAATGAAAGAAGTAAATCCAATTGGCAAAATATTCGATCATCAACATCGATTCGCTCGTTCTTCGATCTATTCATTATTTTATAATGGATCGATTCTCAAATCACGCGAAGAGCTCATCCCAAAAATAAAAAATAAATTAATTCTTTACCCTTTCCTTTTCACTTTTCAGAAGAAAGAGATAAATCCAATCGGCAAAACGTTCGATCATCAACATCGATTCGCTCGTTCTTCGATCTATTCAATATTATAATGGATCGATTAACGAAGAGTCTAATCTAATCTAATGATATCCTCCTTTCATCACGTGAAATATACGTAACTAGTTTTAATCGGAATATAGTCGGAAATGTTGGTTTCCTCCTTCTTCTTTCTTAAATAACACCTGATACGCGAGCATAGCCACCGATTTCTCGAATATCTTTTAACGAGGCGTGATTGATCGATCGTCAATATCGGCGACGTTTTCCATCGCTTTTGCATCAACCGATGTACAAGAAAATTTAATTAAGCGATAAACGCGTGACTAGGATATTCTTGCGTAATATCGATCCACTAGTCGTCATTTTAGAGCATAGTTGCATACACACAGATTCGAAGAAGAAGTTTTTCTTCGTGACTCTTAAGTGGATTTACTCCATGGTCGAGGAGAAGTCATTAATCAACGTCCAGGTTGAATGAAAATTTCACGTTGCCATATCGTTGCGCTCCATGCTTGCAACGCATTCTGTGCACAAGAACGTGCGTGTGTGTATGTGTGCGCACCACACGCTTCGATATTATGGGGGAAACAATGGTTTGAAGAACGGAGAGAAGATTTTTCTTCGAAGATTCTGTTTCTCTTTCTCCTTCTCCTTTTCCAATATTTTTCCAATATTTTTGTTTCTTTCATCGACACGTTTATTGGCCTATATTTATTCATAGATCGGGATCGATTCTCGCGAGATTACACTCAAAATTTTCGTCCATCTGGGTAATTTTTTAAAGATGGTTTATGGGCTGTATAGAATAATCGTATTCTCAATTTCAACATCACCGACGGAATATTAAATAATCCATCTCATATCCCGTTTATCACTTTCCGATAAGATAATGATATTCGTAATCTCGTATTAGAAAACGAAGATGAGAGGGGGGGAAAAAAACTTGTAATTAGATGTATCAGTTTGATTAATCATAATAGCTTGTGTAACGATTATCTTTATCTTTTCTTCTTCTTTTATTCTTCTTCCTCTTTTTTTTTCAAAGGATATCTGGTTTAGACGGTCTTAATTAATGTCCATCTACGAGAAAAAGAAGAAGAAGAAGAAGAAGAAGAACGAAGCGATCGCCGTGTAAAATTATCGAGGATATCGTTACTCTAAGAACAAATTTATAATAAAATTTATAATAAAGATTATGATTTGAGAGCGAAAGTGGAAATAATAAAGCGTTATTTTCAAATTTTCATTTATGAGAAATTACCGTAGCGTGTGCAGAAGAATAGAGTGTGCAGAAGTAGTTTCAACCAATTTATTTATTCCAAAGTGGAAGATTAAATTTTCCCTGGTTTTTTTCAAAACTGCGTATAAATTAAGCGAGACGGGAGAATGTTTACAGGAATACAATCCCGCCGATCCGGCGGCGATTTAATTATCGCGCGTCCATCCTTCATCAATAAAGGTGGAACGTCTTTCACCGAACCGATCATCGTGTTTACAACGTTAGCTTTAATAACACGAGAGGGAGAGGGATCGATGTATAATATATGGCACGAGATTTCGAGGCCCCCGGCCTCGACGAAAATATGATCGAAAACCGATAATTCGTCAAATTTTTCAACGACAATTATTTATACAAATTTTCTCCCCTTTCGTTGCATCGTTAATCGTAGGAAGACGAGAGAGAGAGAGAGAGAGAGAGAGAGAATTTTTAAAGTTCATAATCGTTTTAATTTAATCGCGAAATTTCATTTCTTCTTTGAAATGTTCAAGTTATCCTAATGTTAATAGAAGTTACAGTGTCAATTTGACGGAAAAACGAAATTGAACGATGGCAGAACATGCAAACTTGCTTCTCTATCTGATCTTGTTGTTACTCTTCCAAGTCGGAAAAGTCAGTCAAGGATGCCATCTGCAAGGCATCTCATCGAAAGGAAGCTCGTAAAGCATTCTTTTTTTTTTTTTTTTTTTTCAATTACACGTTCGAAGAATTTAATTACAATATGCTTACGGGAATACTCTCTTTTATTGAATTTTTCTTTCTTCTTTTCTTATTATTATTAATATTCATCTTCATCCTCTCGAGTTCGAACCGAAATTTAAAAAAATCTTGATGGAGGTTAAAAGGAATCTTATTACGTTCATTAATGTGCATAAAGTTTACTCTCTATAATTATAGTGCTGTCTGTTACACTTTCTATTATCTCTACCAATTTCTCTCTCAAGTAGAACACCGAAAAACACATAAAACGAGTCATCAACCGTTTCTTTCCATCCCATTTACGAAAAAAAAAAAAAAAAAACCTTTATCTCTTCCTTCTAAAACAAGCAAAATCAATTCTTCACTTTCGTTCATTGAAAACACGTTCATTGAACGCACACTAGTTGATCTTTCCACTCTCGTACAACTTTCGCACGTATTATTCTTCGAATCGAAGACCAGACTCTAAAGCTTCGATGCACGAGCGATTTTCTCGTTTTTCCAAAACAATGAAGGCAAATGTATCGATGATCGAGCATTAAAAAAAATCGATCAATTTGATCGATATGCAAATAAGTGGTAACACATATATATTTATACATATATATTTATATACGTATATACAATATATATTCCACAGTGAAAATAAATCCTTGGCGAGCTCGGTCGATATAACAGGTGATACGAGATTCCTTACAGGGACGATAATTTTCTGTGCGCGTTCCACAACCGTTCCCCTCCTCGTGTAATTATTATCCAAAGACAACCGAGGCAAGAGAGCATGCTTTATGATCCTGTCTTTCGAGCAACTGCCACTGATTACGGTTACATCGGCCGATCGTTTGCGGCCGTGATTCAAGGCTTCTTGCCTCTATTTCTAGCAAACCGTCGCTTTTCCACTATTCCCGGTGTCGCGGCCACCTGATTGAATGCTCATCTTAAATCCGTAATTAAATTTTGTTACCGTGCCTTCTCTCTTTTCGTTCGTGTCGCGCACTTGTTTTTTGGAATGTCGAGAGAAATATAATAAAATATAAGAGAAGATAATAACCTCGTGATTTCTTGTATAGTGGCTCGTTATTTTAATGAAGAAATTCCGTGTATGATTTTGGTAAAAGTTCGTTCGAATCAAAAATTCGTATCGTAATTGAAATTGTTACCATCGCGATATGATTAAATATTCCTGCATAAGATAAATTGGATATTGCGATATTGTGCGTAATTTCTAACGAGATATTTTCATAAATTTGATGTAAAAAAAAAAAAAAAAAAAAAAAAAAAAAANAAAAAAAAAAAAAAAAAAAAAAAAGAAAGGAATCATCAGGAGTTAACTCGAGCAATTACGAAAGCAAATAGATTCGAGTCGCCATGATTTTTCCACGTCCATCGGAGGAAGGAACATTTTCAGGCAGGCCGTTAACCGATTTCACTTCTCGTTTACCAGGCAAAGTGGAATTCTTAATTACAGTGGACTTACATCACGTACGCACGAGAAATCCC